AGTTATTTGTACGATGCAGGTGTTTGCTGCCTTCTACGTGAAACCTGCTGGACTGGGCTGTTAAATGTGAATGCTAATAACATTGTAAAAATACAGTACAGTATTTCAGTTTGCTTGATCTGAATCTCTTAAGGCCCTGAGGCTGTTTTTTCCTTCCACTTGACAGAACGTTAATTGTGCAAGTACAGATCAGCTCCAATCAATTTGGATTCAGACCATTAAGTCAGTTTGAGTCAGAAAGAAAAATGCACAAAAGCCTTGGGGTGAATTAAGGGGCATTTAGTCGGATTGGAGGATTCAATTTGGATCATAAATGCAATTTGGAAACCAATTCCATCAAATGGAATTTTGAAGTCTAACTTTTACACAGCTCCAGTGTTACTGTCATTAAGGGCTAGAAAGGTTGTATTTCATGATAGGCGCCACCTTTTCCTGTCTTGGTTTATATTCCAGTGTCGTGAGAGAAACCATATTAAATAGGTCTCATTAAATGCTGAAGAACATCCTGCATCAGCTTGTTTTTAATTGTAATGGTCTTTTTAGTTTCTTGGATGTTTTGCTGGGAAACCACTGGATGTATCTGGGAAAAAAAAATCTATAAAGGATCTGGTTCAGGCTTTTTTTTTTTTTAATTGCTTGGTGAGAGCAGTCTGACCAGTAATCTGATTTTAAAAAATGCATTTCAGTGCATTTTAATGTTTTGTTTTCATTTTAGATCAGATATAAATAGGAAAGAAAAGGTCAGCATCAAATGTCCAGAGGATAGCTAGGGAAATGTTTAACTCTTGAAGGGGGTGCCCAGGTCTGGGGCTTGAGGCTACTGCTAGACAGGCAGGCAAAGGGATGGCTGGAGAAAGGGGCCTGGCCCAGCTCTAACTGGTGGGTCAGGTGCACCCCAACCTGGAACGGGACCCCCAAGCCACAATAATTCATGCACTTCCTTGGATTCCTGCAGGGCTCTCTACCTGGAGCAGCCTCTGAGGAACACTTGGAAACTGAAGCTGGTGCAAAACGCAGTGCCCTGTTTATCAGGGAATCGCAGTTTCTGCACTGGCTTCAAATAAACTTCCAGATACAACTCTAAGTGCTGGTTTCAACCTACAGAACCCCTCTATGGCTTGGCAACGAGGTACCTACTGGACTGCCTTCTCTGCATAGGAGCAGCCCCCGACTCACCCAGCATGTAGACAGCACCTGTATTTTTGTATAGACCCCCCTCAGGTAGGTGAGAAGAAGGGGGCCTCAACTCAGCAGCAGTGGCTTTTGGCTGCAACTCCCATGCTGAGAGCCCTCACTGCTGGCCTTTCTCTCCTTTCGGGGAGTGCACGGTCACCACTGCGCACATTGTACTGGGGCAGATTTCTCTTTTTCTTTTTATTTAAAGTTTTCCCTACGCTTCTTGTGGCAAACATTAAACAATTAAATTAATTACAATCAATTAAATAATAAGTAAGCTTCCCAGCATCATCTTCTGAATCCGGTGGTAAACAAATGCCATGATTTATTTGATTAAAGTAGATTTTGAGTTTTTAAATACCTGATGAAATAGAAGCTATCCATCTAAAAAACAAGATAAGAAACAAGGAAAATAGACAACATTGGGAGAAGGTTGATAACATTGGCATACTGTAGATACTATGAAGGTATTAGCATGCTGCTTTGAATATATGTTGCTGATGGACTTCAATTTCATATTGAATAGTTTTGCGTAGCAAATTCTACGTTCCTATCATGTGGTTGAAAGGGGCCAGAGGGATTCTAGTCCATGCTCCTGCTCAGTGCAGGATCTGCTACAGCCTTTCTTTGAAGACATCTAACCAAGAAGCAGCTGACCATATTGTGTGACAGTCTGTTCCACTGATAGTTCATTCAGTGAGGAAGTTCTTCCTGATGTCTACCATAAGCTTCTTCCTTGTAGTTTGGGCAATAGAGAATGCACCCACTTTCTCTTCTATGTGAGAACCTTTCAGATAGTTGAAAACTGCTATTAGATGTCATCTTTTCTGTAGGCTAAACATATCCAGATCCTTTAAATGTTCCTCATAGGGCTTGGTGTCCAGACTCTTCACCCTCTTGGTGACCCTTCACTGAACCTGGTCCAATTTGTCACTTTGTTTTTTTTTTAATGTAGTTCCCAGAATGGGATACAGGAGTCAAACTGGGTGCAATCTCAGGAGCATAAAGTTGTCCTGTGAGTGGACTCTCTGATCCTGCTAATGCACTGCATGGCTGCATTTGCTTTTTTAGCAGGTGCATCACACACAGGCTCATGGTCAACTGTCAGCCTTGCAAGGTAGTCCAGACAGGAAGCACACCCAGAAGTACTAGCTCTATTTTATTGTAAGACGACATTAACAGAATCTTGCAAGTCTGAAAGTACACTTCTACCCCATTGGCTTTACAGCCCAAGAAGGGAAGGTCCCTTCTGAGATGTTTGCCATGCCTGTATTCCTTCTGTGGGTGCAGTTATTCAGCCAACTGTGAGTCCATCTAACAGTAGGCATCTTCTAGCCCAGTGTTTCTCAACCTTAGCAACTTTAAACTGTATGGACTTCAACTCCCAGAATTCCCCAGCCTGCTCTAGCCCATATCTTACCATTTTATGAAGGGAAGGGTCATGAGGCACTCCGTTGAAAATTTTGTTCTGGTCCAGTGCACTGTATCTACAGTGTTCCCCTGATGTAGTAACTCCATTAAAGGAGATAAGATTAATCTGGCACAATTCATTGTCAACTGACAGATTTGTAGTTTTCCACATCTTCCTTCTTCCTCTTTTTGAAGATGGGAATGATGTTTGCTCTCCTCCAGTCTTCTGGGACCTTACCAGTCCACCAGAAGCTCCCAAAGGATGGTTCTGTGATCACCTCTGGTATTTCCTTTTGTATTTTTCATAGTTAAATAATTTATTTTATAAAGCACATAATAACGTATTTTGAATTCTTATAGAACAATGTTAATATTTACGTACCTTATTAAGGAGGTAATTCCTTAACACCACATTAAGGAGGTGCAAATGGACACACAGCCATGAAAGCTCACAGGATTACTTTGACCAGTTATTCTCAACCCAAAGTGATTTTGGTTGTGGGGATAAAATATGATGTATACCTGATTGAACTGCTAAAGGAGAGACAGAATATAAATATAATAAATACTTAATACATTTTATACTAAAAGATTCAAGAGATAGGCTTCTTCTGGATGTGGTCACACTATCTTAAAGGTCAAGGGCACTGCCTGGCGTTCTCTTGCATATAGCACTGATACTGGATAGCCATTTAATGTCTGTGATGGTGTCAGGCCTAGCCTAAGGAACTCCAAGAGACAATGCAAAATCAGTTGAGCTACGTTTATTAGCTACAGCCTCTAGCAAGAATCTTCCCAGACTGAAAACCCGTCTCCCAAGTCAGCCAACCACAACAGTGTGAATTCTCAGGGAGGTGCCAGTCTCATCCTCTTGTAGTTCCCATGCTCCATTGGCGAGCTAAGAAAATGTTATCTCCTGAGCCTGGCCTTCATAATTCCATTCTATCACAGATGGGCAGATTTTTAGCTTTGGATGATAAACCAGTTGTGCAATTACATGAAGTGAAACATGTTGGTATCCTCAAAATTGAACTATTGTCATTCACTCTTCGTGGAGTATTTTTGAAGATAGTTCAGAAATTGCAGCTAGCTTAGAAGGTATCACTCCCATCCCCTAAAATGAAAGGATACTTTCTCCCCACTGTTTTCTGATCCCAGTGGAAGATTCTCACTGTGGTTTCTAATTACTTAACATAGCTTAGGCCTAAGTTACTTGTAGGATATCATTTTCTCTCACCTTCTGCTTATACCCTCAGGTCTTCAAGGTGGCGTTTTTTTGTCATGGATACTGACAAAGGAATGAAGTGCCCAGGGAACTTAGTATAACTTTGGTGAAGGCTAGGAGGGCTCAAAAGTTGTATTGTATAAGCCTCCCAGGGCAATGTGGAGTGGTGGCATGTATCTTTTTGGAAGGAAGGAAGGAAGGAAGGAAGGAAGGAAGGAAGGAAGGAAGGAAGGAAGGAA